CAAATGACTTAGATCATTTACAAATGACCAAGATCATCTCACTAACACAAGGTCACGTGACTGTCTGATGATCAAATGACCTAGTCAATCGCATGACTATCGGCCAATCAAAATTTATTATCCTAAATCTATACGATATTAGAACATAATAAAAAAACGTTAGTACGATAATTTTACCTATACGTATACTTAAAGTTGTAAGATTATATAATTTTAGTAACTTTGTACGTATAAATTTCAGCAAGTGTAATTTACAGTACATACAAATATACATTAATTTTTGAATACATAGCGATAATAATTTTATGTGTCTAACTATAAAATAGTCAAATTTTGGTTATGATGTAATAACTTTATGTATTACATAAGAATTTATTATTATCATTACGCAAAATTGCATAGAATATAAAAAATGTGATTTTTGTAGTACAAAATTAGCCCTAACCTCGAATTATCCACATTAACTTCAATTATGGTTATCGTTATTTAACGTTAAACGATCAAAATCATACGTATGCAATAACCCATCTGATAAAACCATTCAGCACTAATGCTTTTCATCAGCTGAATTTTACTGATTATTAAATTCAGAAAATATACATGTACTTTGGCTAGGTTATTGTTACGAATATAGAATTGGTGCTGAAAAAGATGAAAATAAGGCATTTGTTCATTATCATAACCTTGCGGAAATGGATGAATCAAGTTAGCTATTGTTGTATATTACGTTAGACAATGGTATGTATAAAGGAGATAATCATATTACATAGTAAGATACCACTTCTGATTTTAATACTAATAAAATCTTATCTGCATGAAGTCAGGTAGTGGGTGTCAGTCAAATTGGTAAAAAGAGAGGCATTGTTACTGATAAATGAGAGTGTTGAGGTGAATTATGCGATATGGAAGATGATAATGTAATACGAACAATATTAATTGTGAATCGATTTGTTCTCTGAGAACTTTCAACATAAAATCATGCAATTGAAGTCTTCGTTAAAGCATGAGCACAAACTTCTGTAAATTATACTATAAGTAGGACATTAAAGAAAATATGGTTAATAATGCTGAAAAAAAAGAAAAATAGATATATATAAGTAATGCAGAGAAAAAGGAAATGTGTAAAAGGCATTTTGTCAATGAAATCAACATAAAAATACTGCAAATAATCATGGAAAAAAAAGAAAAGTGTAAATGAATCATTTAACTTGGCGGGTATTAATACCAAACTTTTTTATAAATTTAAAGCGAACTTTTTGCCTCTACTTCCAATATATATAAAAATAAATCTATCTTATACCAACTATTTTATAAATACTGTGAACTTCAAATTTATATTTTTTCAAGATGGGTAAAAAAAAGCATAATTTCCGGGAATTTTTTCATTTAGTTGACCCTGAAAATCCCAAAGTGAACAAAAAGGCAGTTTGTCTTTCATGTGTGCGAAAATATACCTTACCTGTTGCTCTCACAAAACCTGAATGTTTTGTTTCTAATAAGGCAAAATTATGTCGAGGCCATCTTCGAAATTGTGAAAATTTTAAAGCTGACTATAATGAGGATGAAGTTTTGGAAATTCTTTTGCGACCTATTCCTGAAGATGCCAGAAAAAAAGCCAAAGGTTATCAGATTAACAATGCACTATAATAATGTCTTTACACCATATTAATTATTTTTTAATAAATTATAGTCACCAAAAATGATTTCAAATCTGAAGATGAAAGTTTTGAAACATCGGCGCCCACTTCGTCATCTACTAACCAACCTGCTTTAAAAATGACAAAACAAGAAACTCTTGCATATTATGTTGCACGTCCATTGTCTGAAAAAGATAGGCTGCACTTTGAAAATTTGGTACTACGTATGATCATATCAAATGGTCTTCCTTTTACCTTTACAGAGAATCAAGAAACAAAAGAAGTTTTTAATTTTATTATTCCGACCTTAAGACTACCTAACCGACGGGCAATGAGCGACAGAATTCTTCCAAAGATTTCAAAAAATTTAACTGAAGATATTATAAAACAAGCATGTATAGACAAAATTGGTGTAACTGCAGCCTTTGATGGATGGACAAATATTAAAAGAAAGCATCTTTTTGGTGTTGTTTTAATTACATCTAAGGGTAAAGCTCTAATTTAGAATGCATGTGATATTAGCAACCAACGGTCAAGAACCGAAGATATGAAACTTCTTATTAAAAATATAATGGATGATGCGGATGAAAAGGGTATAACAATAAATTGTTATGTATCTGATTCTTCTGGAGAATATGCGGCTGCAAGGCAAGTATTAAATAAATATTAATATATCTTTAAATATTACAAGTTGTATAACAAATTTTTTATAGACGACAACTAAGGATCGAGTATCCTGATAAAGTTTTTTTGCCATGTATAGCACATCAAGTTAACCTGGTCATCGGTGATATTTTTAAAGAGTCTGAAACATACAAAAAAACATTAACAAATGCAATACGCATTGTTAATTTTTTTCATACATCATTATATTTTACTGGATTATTATGAGATGAGCAAATGTCATGTTACAGACGAACTATTTCCCTTGTCACTCCAGCTGAAACGCGTTTGAATAGCTTTTATTTTTGCTTTCATTCGGTTTTAAAGACTGAGGCTGCGCTTAAAGTAAGTAGCTATATTGGCAATATTATCATCACTAAAAAAATATTACATTTTTAATAATCATATAAAAATTAGACATTAGCTACAAAGTTTTCACCCTCAAGAATTGGATCAACCAGCACTTCTCGAAGTAGATTCTCACGGCAACGATTTACATCAGAAAATACAAACAAAACACTCCCGTATGATATTATATCGATCATACTAGATTCAAGTTTTTGGAGCCAATTTTATGAACTTCAAGACTTACTGTTTCCTTTGTGTTGTGTGCTAAATAAGCTTCAGAAAGACATTGCAAGGCTATATGAAATTGCACACTGCTTTGGGTGGCTTATCAAGGTTTTTGCAA